ACCCAAGCCTCAAATCTTTATTCTGGACAAGTACAACAACCTGGCCAGACAAGTTTTTATAACACTGCCCAGTCGCCAAGTGCTCTCCAGCAGGTAAACTATGGCATGGTAAATTTCCTTAATTTTCTTTTTTATTACTTTTATTATTTGGAAATTACGTAGAACCAAGAGGGGAGGAGTGGTTTTCAAACTATTGAAGTACCCTGGCAATTCCATGGGGACGAGTGGGAGTGGAAGGTATTTCATTTGATTCCATTAATACCTGATTCCCTCATCCTCTACTATTTCACTTATTTTTGGGTTTTATCTCTTATTTAAAAAAAAAAAAATGGATTCCCCTATAACAGCTTATTTTAACAAAGGAACTCATGAATATAAAAGTTTGAAAACCATTTTTTCAAGAACATATATACAGCCGGGCATAGTTGCACATGCCTGTAATCCCAGCACATAGGGGGCTAAGGCAGGAGGATCATTGTGAGTTCAAGGCCAGCCTGAACTGCATAGAGTCAGTCTCAAAAAGACAAAAGTATACACACATACACAGTAGGTGACTCACCATGATTGTTAGAGGTGAAGTAGGTTACAGACTGTCGGACAGGTTAGTGTAGTACATTGGATGGTGTGGCAGAGAATAGCAGATAACCAGTGTATGGATTCAGTGGTGCTTTTCAGTGAACTCTGCATGATTTTCTCAGATGCCTTCTCTAGTAATACCTTTAATTACCTTAACTCTTTAAATGTTAATGTAAGGCCAGAGAGCAAAGACAAACCATTAGTCATTTTCTCATGACTCTTTGTGGCTGTTTTAAGAAGTTATCATTTGTGCCTATCTTATTGACATTAAGATGAAGTATACTCTTTGTATGAAAATGTAAAGGTTCTTTTTCTTGCCAAAGATCATTCTGATCAGACCCTAAAAATATTTGCAAACTTGTGACTCCTTTCTTCAGTTCTGTCATGTATTTTGTAGTTATTTGACACAGTGGGTAATTTCAGGATAGTCCTAATTATTTATATTGTTGCCTCACTACTAGAAGCATCAACAGTACTATACTTATACGTGATCCTGCACGTTTGTATCATGTATCAGGTGTGATGGGACCTACCTGCGGTCCCAGGTACTCAGGAAGCTAGGACAAGGGGACAGTCACTCAAACCCACAAGTTCAGTAACACATCATATTCACACAATGATAGAGTTGCCCTGTACATGTCCGTGTCGCTAAGCCGCACATTGCATTTTGGGGTTTGTACATAAAAGAATGGAGGTAGTTACTAAGCAGATAATTTGTATATGAAGTATGTTAGTAGATATAGTCTATTTCAAGTCCTTAAAAAATTATTTAAAGAGTTGTATGTAGTTATTAGGGATGTGTATGCTGTAGTTACACAAATCACTGCATTTTCTGTTTTCTTTGTAGGTTACAGTACCTTTACCAGCATCCCAGCTTTCCTTGCCTAACTTTGGATCCACAGGGCAGCCTCTGATTGCTTTGCCTCAGACTCTTCAGCCC